CAACTTTGTCAGAATCTTGAGAGGACATTTAGAGCTCAAGGACAACCTCCCTGCCAAATCTGAGGTTACTAAAACAGATAAATACAGAATCCCTAAAGAAAGCCCAACAAGGCAAAATTGAAAATGTTGCAGGCTCGGTTTGATTGAGCCTGTTCATGGACGGTACTGGAAAGTGCAAGTTACCGTTCACGCCCCTAGCACTGGCTTAAGCAGAATTCAACATTTAAACATGAAATAGTAAAATTTTGAATTTAGAAACATCCGCAGATGTGTTCATACGGCGGTTATCATGGAACCTTTAATGTGACACTTCAGTGCCATTCCATGAAAAGCGGCGTATGGTCCCCAAGTAATAAAAAGCGTGTGCCCTAAACGAGAAAACAATGGGCGGAACTAAATAAAATGGAATTTTGAAAGGGGATCAGAGGTATGAAGCCTGCGTATCACAGATATGACGTCAAAAGACAAATTTAAAAAGCAGGCAACATATCCTAAGTGTGATGATTCAACATTATTCAAGTAGGAATATTAGAACCACTCAACTAGAAAATGCCGAAAAGTTGAAACTAAAAATACCACAAGCACGACAATAATGTCGTGCTGAACGATCTTCAAGGTTCGAAAATATAACATCATTGATTAAATGTACGGGGAGACTTTTTACAGCCGCCACACGGCACAAATAACACGGATGTGATCATAAAATAGATAAATACAGAATCCCTAAAGAAAGCCCAACACGGCAAAATTGTAAAATGTTGCAGGCTCGGTTTGATTGAGCCTGTGCATTGCTAAGATATGTATTCTACATGCTTCAAATGTCAAAATCAATACACTGTGGACAGGCATTCTTAAGCATTTGAGCAGACAAACTTATTATATAGTAAAAAATTCCTGTGACCTTTTATACAGTCAACTAAAAATCAAATAGGGGCCGTCTACTAGTCATAAACAATCTCAATACCAAATATGAAAACTGTTGACCAAAGCATTCTTAAGCAATTGAGGGGGAAAACTTTTCTTAGTCAAGGTCCCTGTGACCTGTGACCTTGACCTTTGACACAGTGACTTCAAAATCGAAAGGTGTCACCTAATGGTCATGATCAACCACAATGCCAAATATGAAAACTGTGGGTCAAAGGTTTCTTAACTAATTGGGCGGACAAACTTTTTGATATCAAAGTCTCTGTGACCTTGACCTTAGACCCAGTGACCTCAAAATCAAAAGGGGTCATCTACTTATCATGACTAACCTCCATGCCAAATATGAAGACTGTGGGTCAAAGGTTTCTTAAGTTATTGGGCCGACAAAGCTTTTTTTAGTCAAGGCCCTTGTGACCTTGACCTTACTTAGTGACCTCAAAGTCAAAAGGATTCATCTCCATATACTAATTATGATTAACCTCCATGCCAAATATGAAGACTGTGGGTCAAAAGAATCTTAAGTTATTGGGAGGACAAGCTTTTTTAGTCAATTTGCCCCTGTGACCTTTGACCCAGTGACCTCAAAATCAATAGGGGTCATCTACTAGTCATGACTAACCTATTTAATTATTTTCTTACAAATAAATAACTTTTTTATATCACTTTATTTAAAAAAAGGCCAAAAACATAGAGTTCATTATTACACACCAATAGGTAAATTCCCCACAGCTATGTACAGAAAGTACCGGTAAACGGAGTTTAGCTAGATTTTCGAATTAGTAAACTATTTTGATTCTTACACGACATCAACAAATAAATGCTGCCGTACCTGATATTAACCTAAATTGCGCATGATTTGTTTCCGTACTTATTTTCAGCATGTCACATTTCTAGTGGTTGCGTCACATGCATAATGATTATGTTACATTGTCTAAATATGGAAAGCAAAACTGTGATTTTATTGCATAATAACACACGCCTTTGGTACTTCTATGTTCAATGGGAAAAAATGTGAGTTGTTAGAATATAGAACAAACATGCAGTTATTGTTGATAAAAAAGCAATTGATAGATCAACAACCACTGAACAAATAAAAAAATAAACTTAATCTTGCATTTTCAGGGCCGTCCGGGTTTGGTGGACTGTGGTATTGTCCAATTTTGGTGGTCTCGCACCAGTAGGGCATCAGTCTCAGATACTATGATACTTCATCAAACCATGCAGAGAGACATCTGTTTTCTATGCAACACAGCAGTTAAAATAGCACAGCAATTTATATGTTTTGAAGTTTTGCCTGTCGTTTAATTTAAACAAGAATTTGTAACAGAGTTACCAACGTCCCCCGCCTCGGGAAGTTTTATATGAAGCATAATATTGTGCTATTTCAAAAGATTGAGGTATGGATCTCAGGACATTCAGTCCAAAATTATGATCAATGCTAGATCTGCAAATACAACAATAAATTTGTTAAAAAAATAAATGAAACACAGAATTTAAAAATCTATCATGTTAATAAGCTTTACCCTCTAAGTGTGACCTTGACCTTGGAGGTAGGGGAGCAGGTGTTGTGCATGACATTACGTCTTCTTATTGAGACTATTTGTGCGAAGTATTTTCAAAATCCTTTGATCTATGAAAAAGTTATGGACCGGACACAAAATATACCCTGTAACAGACTATGTAAGTATTTGACCTCCAAGTGTGACCTTGACCTTGGAGGTAAGTGACCGGTTTTTGCGCATGACACATCGTCTGATTATTGTGAACAATTATGGCAAGTATTTACAAAATCCCTTCATAGATAAGAAAGTTATGGACCGGACACGACATATACCCTCAAATAGACAATGTTGATCTTGAATGAGCAAGTGCGACCTTGACCCTGGAGGTAGGGGTCTGGTTGTTGCGCATGACACATCGACGTATTATAATAAACATTTGTGCCAAGTTATTTCAATTCTTTTCATAAATGACAAAGTTATGGACCAGCCACGAAAGTGTGACGGACGGACGGACGGACAGACGGACGGACAGAGCATATTTCTATATCCCCCTTTTTTCTTCGAAAAGGCTGGGACAATTCAAGTTACCTCAGAGAACTTTAAAAATAAACAACGCCTAGGGAATTCTAGTTTGAATGCCCATGCTCAATAATTGAGACCCTATTCCTGGTCAATAAATTCTTTTGAACCATATATTTGCAGACAACACAGAAGAGAAAAGGTTTCGTTGGAAGTTCTATTTCTTTCGTAAAATCATCTCAACATCTCTAAGTCTTAGTCACAGGTGCTTGAAACAAACTTTAAAGTTTTATATGGGCTATATAGGTCTACTATAATAAGATATATTAATATACATATACAGACCGATTACGTAAAATATTTGATTATGTGACTAGCGCATGTGGTAAAGTAAAAGAGCGACATCGAAAACATGGCTATGCTGGACAGGTATCTAACATAGTAACATTGATCTGTCAAAGTTTTGTACGGTCCGTAGACAGATTTTATCTTATTTGTTAAAAAAGAAAAAGTGCGATTTGGGCCTCCAGAATATTTAAATGGTACGTTATGGTACGTAATCTCCAAAAATGGTGCGTAAAATCCAGCATATATACGTTTCCTCCATGGTACGAAACCATTAGTATTTGTTGACATAAAAATAATAAACTCACCAAAAACTAGACGTTTTCGTTCGTCCCTAACTCTAATTATGTTAATGATAAGAAACAATGCTTACCTTCCTCATCATTAAAACTCCTTTTGAAGTTTATTATAATTATATCCGACACAAAGGCTTTTTTTTCTACCATCACGCCTACCGAGAATGCCCTGTCCTGTGGCGCAAAAAAGTGGACGGCTTCATTTTTCGCGCACTTGAAGGGGTCTTCGGTCTAATAACAATGTGTTTACAAACGTTTAAATGATATTTCTTATAAATTAACAATTCAATTATATATAACCGATAGATAAGATAATTTAATTATTCTATAAAAAAAATAGTACTGTCACGAAAATTGTGTCTAGCATACCGAGTACCTTACTCCCCCGTGTAAGCGTATGGACTTGACCGTCGCCGCCGAAACTCTTTGAACTTCTAGAGCGGACGCCTGTGTAGTTTAATTACACGCAAAGCTGCGGTTAAACTGGTAATAGAATCGCTGTCATTTCAAATTACTGTATACATGCGGGTTGTTTCTTCAAGACTTGGTGAGTAATTTTGCATCTAATAACTTTTTAAATGAAATTGATTGCAAGCATGCTTTTAAATACCATCTAGAATAAATAAAATATGGATTTATGAAACCTTCAGTGGCAGATAAAGAAAAACCGTTTTAAACGGAATACATTATTTATATTTTAAAACTTTACAAATTGTACTGTCGATTCTACCATTAAAGTGAATTGGTCTACTTTTTTTCCCAGACAAATGTACCATTTGATGTAGGTTTAGACCACTGATCTTTGTGCAAAATTTTAGATCATTCGCACACTTGCATGCACGTTTCGTTTTTCCAGAATAAGTATTCAAATTGTAAAAAATAACCCAAAATGAAAATCATTTAAACACTTTCACTCAAATCGGGCTAAGAAAAGCATAAAAAAAGATTTTCAATTTATTTCAAAGTATATTTCTTAACTATCTTTGCATATATTTCTGTTTAAAGTGACACAGCTCATTTATTTAAGAAATTCAAATGTATTTTTTTTTTTGGCTTTTAAACCTCAGTTGAGTCCCTTTAATATTCAAATGGAAACAACAAGAAAAGGAAGTAATATTTCAGATTTTGTTACTGTTACATAATTTCTATTGATAGTAATATAATATTTTATTTTATGCTTTTCGGTAGATTACTGAGATTTCTGTGAAAATTATATTTGGTAATTTCACTGTGAAAAATATCAAATATAATTCCACTCTTTTTCAAGAAGAACTACTTTCAATAAACCCCCCTTGGATGCCTCAAATGTACTAAAAACTTACTTCCCTTTGACCAATTTAGAGTTACTTCCCCTACATTGTTTATATAGCAACATACATGTATAATTTTGACAGTTCGTCTGCAAATCAATAAAATGGCTGAATCAGAAATAGATCCTGACATTTTGTCAGAAATAACTGATAATTTTTATGATAAAGAGCCCTTTGGTGATTTTCAACTGGTGCAATCAAATGAGAGATTATTCAGAGAAGTAGACCCTGATAATTTTTTGGAAATTAATGAGAATGTCAATACTAAAAAGAAGACCATGTATGACATGAAACTTGTTAATGCCTTCCTTATGTCAAAAAATGAAACAAGACTGGTGCAGTTTATACCTCCTGATGAATTAAACAGCCATCTCTGTAATTTCATCCTGGCAGTTACCAAAAATGATGGTTCCGAGTATGAACCCACTACCCTTCGAGGGTTCTTAGGATCAGTTGATAGGCATTTACGGAGTGTTGATAGCCCTGTGTCAATCTTTCGGGATAAAGAATTTTCTAAAACAAGAGCAGTCTTAAAAAGGAAACAACAAGAGTTAAAAAAGATTGGACTGGGAAATAAGCCAAAAGCAGCAGAAACGCTTGATGAATGGATGATTTCGAAAATGCATGAAGCCGGAACACTTGGAACAAAAAATCCACGAGCTCTTCTCCATTCCATGTGGTTTATATGTACAACATACTTTGGTATGAGAACCGGAAAAGAAATCCATCAACTTTGCTGGGGTGATATAAAACTCAGTTTGGATGAAGTCAGTGGCACTGAATACATAATCCTCGACACAGAAAGACAAACCAAGACCAGAACTGGGGAAAATCCCAGAAATATACGGTAAGTCAAATTTCTTGTTCACTTGAAAAATTAAAACTTAAGCACTATATATTGTCAGTTAAAATCATTGATCAAGCTGACAAACATGTATTCATTAAAAAAAAAATTGATCTATATATATCAAACAGGATGAGTATTTTTTTTCTTTAATATTTTCACCATTACTGCAGCAATGAGAAATTATAATAAAACAACTTGTGTCCAAGGTTAAATTATTTTCCATCAAACAAATAATCTATTAAATTTAGGCTTTTTAGTGGTCTTCAGTCATTCTGCATAACATCATGCTTTCTTCTTCATGATGATGTGCCAGTGATGTCATCAAAACATGACAACACATTGATGTTTTTTAATTTGGTACTGTACTACAGTAGATTCTAGTTTTAAATTTGACAAGATGTTGGTAAAGCAAAATGTCCATTATTCTTTTCATTGGCAATTTAAAAAAGTTCTTAGAGACTATCAAAAAGTTAATTAAAGTGTTAAGTCTTTCATGTTTTTTTTTTCACCAATATTCAGGGCTGTGAAACCAAGGGCTTATGAAAATCAAGAGAATCCAGAGAGCAATCCTGTATACATTTACAAGGTTTTCGCTTCTAAAAGGCCAGTTGAGATGTGCACTGATGGAAGTCCATTTTTCCTGACACCTGGAACTAAGTCTACTAAATGCTGGTTTAAAAAGTGTGCAATGGGTATCAACTCAATATACAGCATAATGAATGAAATGAAAAAAGACGCAGGAATTGATAATCCTAGAATCACACCATACAGGTATGTAACAGTCTTACAGGTAAAACAAACCAATTGGTTTAGAAAATATTAAATGAGTGTAGATTAACTACTTACTTTAATAAACAATTTGAAAAAAAAATAAGCCTAGGGCCGCTAGCCATTGGCAAGCATAATGATTATTTTCATTTATTCAACAAGTTGAATAAATTCAGTAGTGAACCAGCACAAAAATGATATTCTATTTATTACATACCTTAAATAAGAAAAGTTAAACAGAGTGAAATTGTTTTTACTTAGTCACACAATTGCCACACTTTGAGATGCATGTAAAGTTGTTCTTCATTTCCAAGTGATGGCATAAAATCATGATATCATAATGTCAACAATGAAAAAAAGTTCTTTTCTGTTGAATTCATATAAAGTTTGGCTACAGTGAAAGTATATTTGATTTATTATGCATATAACACAGAATTATCTACCGTTTACACCGGTGCTAGAAAAACCTGTCTTACACCCCCATGTAAGACATCATCGTCGGATACCCACGATTGATAAACATGTTACATAACATAAATAAATGTCAATGGTTCGGCCGTGGGTATCCGACGATGGTAAGACTTTAGTTGCGTGCTTTAAATGCTGTCATGCACATTGCTGGGCGCCATTTATGAATGAATTGCGTTCTTAGGATGAGGTCATTTTACCATTATTTAAAAGTTCATAAGCTACTATAAGAAAAAAGTGTGTAATGAGAATATCAGTTTTCGCAATTTCTGTTCTGAAAATAATTGACATGTTATATGCAAATAAAATAATCAAACACCGGCTGTTGGTATAGTCGAGAATATCTGCAGAGCTTCTTTACCGTCGTAAACAGTTACCTTCAAGCTAGATATTCCCGTCTGTACCGGCAGCCAGTGTAAGATTCTTATTATATTCTTATTATATATTATATACTTGAATAAGTTGAATTAAATATTGATGAAATAAAAAGCTTATTTTCATTTCCCATAAATTTATTTTTCACTGTAATGAAACATATTTTCCGTATTTTCACTGGTGTCTTGCAAGACTACTTTCTTCTAAATTCAGGCAATAAACAGAAGTAAATAAAACGTTTTTCAAATTGTGATGTCTTAAAGGGGAAAAATGTATTTATCACACACCCATGCCGATTTTGCGACTCCGTAAATATGGTATTGCAGGGCCGTGCATATATTTTGACGCAACGTCATTAGCGTTATACAAACATAGTGTAAAGACGCGCTAAATGTTAGCGTTATACTATAGGCGCTTCAATGAAAAATGACTCTTATTTCACTTAAAACGGTCTTTATTTTAGGTATGTGATAAATAGAATATTAAATTCGTGGAAGTTTATTACTGAATTTATTGCAATCGTTGAATAAAATAATATTATGCTCGCCAGAGGCTCGCATAATATAATTTTATTCAACTCGTGCAATAAGTTCAATATTGAACTTGCACTCATTCAATATCCTCTATATATTAAACAGAAAATTTAAGTGTTTTTTTTCTAAAAGTTATGAAATACAGTTTTATAATTTTTATTTTCATCTTGTGGTATGAAAATTATCATATTTCACTTTGTCGCATTATTAGCTACTGCCACTCATATTTATTTAAATTTTTTCATACCACTCAATGAAAATAAATCCTGTATTTATAGAAAATTTTTGAATATTCACTATGAAAAAATATCAATATTAAATTTGCTGTCCACTGGATAGTATGTAATAAGTTCAAAAAATTTCTTTCCCTGTCAAATTATTCTTCATCTTGTATTTTTACAATAAAATAATGGAAACAAATGACCCCTTAAACTATTTTAAACTGAAAATGTCAATTTATTGTATTTCCTCTTTAACAATTTAGGTAATAAAGCTTGACAAGTCAATTAAAATCACTTTCATTTTTAAGCACAATTTAGAGATTCAAATACATGTACCAAGTTATTTAAGTGACTATAGGCCTACAATACAAATTTTATGATTCTTCTGTGATAATAATCAACATTATTTATAAAACTATAATTCTTTATTATAATTTCAGTTCAAGAAAGCGACTTATTCAGAAATTAAGTGATGATGGTGTTCCAGCAAACCAAATAATGCAGATTTCAGGGCATAAGAATGTAAATAGTATCAATAACTACAGTAAACTTAACCCAGATCAAAGCAGACAAATATCAGACATCCTGTCCAACAAATCTACATGTACCAATGCAATCAGTTTGGTAAGACCTCCCACAGATACTGCGAGCAATCCAGCCTCAGCGTTAGAACTTACTCATGGTGCTGCAACTAATTTGAATGGAAATTTCCCACCCGGTTTTTTCATAAATTCAAATATACATGGAAATGTTATTATAAATATGGGAAGCAAGACGGAAAGTCAACAGCTATCGCAAACAAATCATCTTCAATATTCAGGTCATCACACACCTAGCCCAGCATCATCAAATATTGAAAGTCCACGCCAGAGGCCATTTAAACGAATTAGATATGTTGTAGATAGTGACAGTGACTGAGCAGGCTTAATAACCTACAGTCATGACAGTTGTTTGAATAAAAGACTGACTGACAAGTTACATGTATTACTTACTATATTCATCTGGTTACTAATTGCATAACTTGAAAGTGCTTCATGGTATGACTGTTGTAAAATGATGACTGAAACAGTTGTTGGTTTTGATAATAAGTTAAATTTTGTTAATTTTCATGTTTCATTGTTCTGAGAAAAATTATTAATTAAACACATTTACAGTGAATTTAATGAACTTTTAAATATTAAAATAACTTTCAAAAATGTTATTTAAAAATTAATGATCTCAGATCACAATTATATGATAAATTAAATAGTATATTATACTTCATATACATTGTAAATAATATACAAAGAGAAGAAAAATATTAAAATTTGTGCAATTGTTGAAATTGATGTTTGTTTTTGTGAGTTCCATTTGCAACCCTTTGGTGTTAAATAGAGAGACTCAGAGTATTTGTTTGTTTTGCATGTAAGATTAAAATATATTTGACAAAGTGAACATCGGATCAATACAACATTTTCACAAAAATTGTTCTCCCCCATATACATGAATAAACATTTTTCTAGTAATTTCTGTAAATTCCAGAGTTAATTTGTCTTTTTGTCGGTATTAAGAGGATGTTTTTTCGTTTGCGTGAAATATGGTATATATTTTCACTCAATATGATAAAGTGCCACATATTTTCATTTGCCGTACCGGCTCGTGAAAATGTGTGTCACTTTATCATGTTTTGTGAAAATATATTCCATATTTCACGCAAACTAAACAATATCCTCTTAATACTATTATTTCACTGAGTGAACACCAGTTGCAATATTTTCACAAGTGGTCTCAGGGATTTTTTGGCTTGTTTTATAGCCGTTATTGATCCATATTCCAAATTGATTTTAAATACTATGTTTTTTTCCCAATCCATAGGAAAAGTTACAAAATTAAAATATTGAAAAAAAAATTTACAACTGTGAAAATAAGGGCTTCCAATAGGAAGTAGCTAACCGTATGGGCCAGTACGACTAGCTAAAAGTTCTAGCTGTACGTGAGTCACGTACGACTAGCCTAGACACACTGTATTGGCTAGCCGTACGGCACTTTTCAAAATTATATGGAAGTCGAAAATGCATATGTTTTTTGTGTCTCTAAACGATGATTTTAAGCAAATCTCCGCATTTGTCCTACTGTCTTTACTTTAAAGTTTAATAAAGATCCTCGCAATTTTGCAAAAATAAAAATATGAATACGAACAACAGTTGTATAATCTATCTTTATAAAGTGTCAAAGTTGCATGTTATAACGTCCTTGATTTTCATGCTTATGATTTGTATGTAGAATGAATTGTTAAATCTGGTAATAAAGCACATGGATCAAATAAATAATGATCGGAGAGGAATAAATAAATAAATAAAAAGAATATTAAAAAAAAAAAAAACAGTGAAAAGGAATTTTAAGTAATTGAATAATGCAAACTTTCCTTAATGATGGACGATGGACAAACTTCTATACCATCGGTAATTGGCGCAATTATCAGAGCCCAACAACAATTGTTTTCAGTGGTTTTTTTTGTTTGTTTTCTTTTTTCAATTTTAATAATTAAACTAAATAAAACAAAAAAGGATTATTATCAAAATTTTGTAAACTATTTCAATTGATGTTTAATTTTTAACTGCAACCAAACGGCTTTTTTTACACACGTTGATTAATCTCTAACAACTTTTTTTTTAAAAAGTAAACATTCTTTATGATTCTTTACTAAAATCCTCGCTTAAACTGTTAGTCATAAAATAACATATGCACTTTCGCCTTCCATATACTTTTTTAAAAGTGTCGTATGGCTAGCCAATAAAGTGTGTCTTTGCTAGTCGTATGTGACTCACATACGGCTAGAACTTTTGCAAGTTTTGGCTAGCCGTACAGTTCATATCTAGTACAGTTGTCAGTTAGCCACTTCCTTTTCAATATAGGTGTCAACACAAATTGTCTTTCATATATGTTTTCTTATATAAATGGATAAATAAAATATTTAAACATAAACTACTACGTAAATAAACTTACTGTCTGTTGACTGTTAAGTGTTGTCCAAACAAATACAATACATGTATGATGGCACAGTCCGGCTCTAGCACTGAATTTGATGATTTTAGGTATATTCAAGTACAGCCAAGCAAAAACTGTCAAGTACCAAATACTTCACATAACAGTATATTGTTCGGCAAGTAAACAAATACCCTAATTCTACATTCAGTGCATGAGCTACATGTATTCAACCACATCTCACGTATACTACTTTAGTCAAACTTTCGGCTATCCGGTTTTAGGAACACTTTCACTTGCTAGAAATATTATAAATAGTTCAATAGATTCATGTTGTAACCGCTCCATAACGCTAAAATCCTCCTAATTCCGTGAATTCAGTTAAAATCGCGACAGAACTTCAAATTACACTAAACTTTGACATTTAACAGTTTTTAATTTTCCATCGCTTCACTTATTTCAATATGGCGGCCGATTTTTTTTTTTTTTAAGAATGAACATCCGTAAATTAATTCGCAAAATATGATTTAAAAAAGACGATTAAAACGGTACAAAACTACAGCCTATTCATATGTATACATGTAATATACAATATTTTTTCTAAAATAAATGACTATGATGGTGTTTAATTAAACTGTGCGGTAATTCTTGTCTTCACTATTTTGTTTAGCGTATATGTAATATTTTGATAAGTGGAAGTCAAATTTGGGGCTCTCAATGGGAGGAAATATGCAAATAAAACCCGGAAAAGGCATTTACTTCGGTAAAATAAACCGAAAAAGCATAAAATAAAAAGAAAATTTGTGTTTATTCTGTGTAAGATTGAATTTTATTTCATCTCGTGAGAATCAAAAACAGTATTCTCACTCGTGGCTTCGCCACTCGTGAGAATACTGTTTTTGATTCTCACTCGATGAAATAAAATTCAATCTTACACAGAAAAACACAAATATCCTCTATGTATACGGCTTTTTAAAGGAATATTTAATATAACATTTGATAACTTTATCATTTTTACTTTTTGTATTTTGTAAAATTGATAATTTCTATCAATGTACATGTAATATCATTTTTAGTTTTTATGTTGAAAATGGTAGAAATGAAAATATTTTATTGATATTATTATAATAACCAGGTAATTTTACTGAAAAAACTAAATGGACGGTAGTAAATATTTTAACTAATTATACAAATAAGTTGATCTACATTTTTAAATGAATAAAGTATTAATAGTTTCTGATAATTTTAGAGAATTGGAATCTATGCGCTTAAAATTTAAGTTATAGGTATAATGATGTACTATGTATAAATTCTATGTATTAAGTTCTGTTCTGATAATAAAAAGTTGGTCGTTTACTTTTTAAATTACAATACTTTGTAACCCCTAATTCTCAAACTGCTATTGACAATGACATATTAGCTATGATGAAAAAATGTTTTTTTCTTGAAATCAAATAATTTTATTGAGCTGTATATGCATATTAAACAATTTGGCTTGTATTTTATGACTTTCCCAAAAGTCCACAGTGTAAGTTGCCAAAGGGTGATATACAAGCACCCAATCAGTTAAGCCAATTAACAACTTCACACTGATAAGAATAGTCTATACCATATAATATTAAAACATGCAAAAAGGAAGACTGTGTATTTTAAGTTTCAGAGTACACCTAATTAGCAATGAAAATAAAAATATGTTTTTCTTGTGAATTGAAAGCAAATTTTAAAGTGTTTAATTTGCCTCTAGTTAGAAAATTATATATATATTTAATAAAAACAAAAAAAACATAAAAATACCACTTATATAATTCAGACCCGTGATTATATTTATCTTCAAAATGATCCAAATGAGTTTTCAAATTGAAGTTTGAACTTTGGACCGTAATAGAATGTATTTAAGTGACCAATAGATGTTATAGGTGTTCCATGTATTAAATAGATATTAGAAAAATTAGAAAAAAAAATCTTTTTGAACATGTTGTTGCATTTATGTGACCTGATTCTAAATAAAAGTAATTGTTGTTGTTGTTGTTGTTGATAAAATGCCATTGTATTTGATTTGTACGAAAACCCAAAATTAATTTTTTGCTAATCTGTGTATTTTGAAGATATTCCAGGTATAGTTATTAGTATGTATACTGTTGTAGAAGAAATGCAGCAGATAAGTTTACACATTGACTTAGATTTAAAACCTGTTTTTAAAAATAAAACATGAAAATTCATGTAGTTATTAATTTTACTGTTACAGTAAAATTTTAAAGCAATGATAATAAACAAAATTAATTATCCATGAGAAAAAAAGGTTATAATTATAACAGAAAGTACAAAAGGGAAGTTATTCTATAATATAGTATTATAAGATATTTACATTCATATAATTAACATATTTCTAATCAATATAGAATTGTTTAAGCAATATTAAAACTGTTTATTCAAAACTAGATTTATATTCACAGATTCAAAAATGTAGCTAAACACTGGATTCCAGTACTTTATGTACACAGCTCTGGGGAATTCACCTAAAGGGCGTGTAGTTATTTGGTAACTACCTGTATGTTTTTGGTATTTTTTTGGATTAAAGTGTAATAAAACAATTATTTATTTGTAAAAAAAATAATTAAATATCACTGTATGATCACTGTATGAATAATTCAATACAAAAAAATAAAGTAAATACATATTAAGTTTCTGCAGGAAATTTCTCTCTATTATGGCAGATGCAACAACGACTGTTTAAATTTTACAGACTTTTATAATAAATAGCCTTTTTTGTGGAAAATTTGCAATAGATAGTACAGGAACATTAATAATTTTCAAACACATCAAGTTTTTCCATTATAAACCGTAAAATATTAATAATTGAAAAAATGGAAATATCACATGTTAGTTGTGTTATAAATGTAATTCATTGGGTGTACTTCCCCAGAGCTAAATCCGTAACATACCGGAAAACAGTG